AATTTTATTTAAAGGTAGAGTATAAATCAATTATTTATCATATGACTTTTGTGATATAATAAGATTTTATGCATAAAATTACAATACATCACTAATAAATATTTTCAAAATTACTGTTAATTTTTACTAAAATTGAGTAATATACAGATTAAACCTTCTATTTTTTTTAATAAATTTGGCAGTCTTGTCTTCACTTTATTAGGCTTTGTAATAATTATCTAAACTATTAAAAATTTCTATAGTATCTAAATTACAAGTAGAGACTCATCTGGTTGCTTATTAAATACCTATGTGTGATCTGCTATAGTAAAATTCACCTCTGTATTATCTTATTTTGCAATTGGTTTCAATAATATGTCAATAGCTAGTTTTTACTACCTGTCAAGACTATATATTAGTTTTCTACCAATCTGCCTGTTGCCCTTCTTTGATCTATCTTAAAACCTCCTTTTTAGTTATCTCTAAAATTGAACCTCATCTTTTATTCTTGTCTTCATCTTTATCTTTTCTTTCTTTTTTAGTATATTTATCTGGTGATTTCTTCTTTTTTTTTCTCTTTCTTGTCTTTTTATGTGATCTTTTTTTATCTTTTGATATAATTCTATTTTTCTTCTTCTATTTTTGTACTAGTTTGTATCTTGCAACACATATTTTCTCATAGATCTCCTTTATCCAATTCTTCTAAAATCTATCTATAAAGTTCTTTGCTTGATTATTTGAGTTAAAAAAAAGTTTCAACTCATCGAAGTTTTCTTTTGTATTAGGCTTCAAATCCATCTCTCTCTTCTATGTGATTCTTCAGCTTGGAAACTCTTTCTAATTAAATCTTTTATTTATAGTAGTAAATTTTTATAGATCATATTATTTTAAAAAAATATACTTCTTTATATAGTTAAATTTGCTAGAAGGCTTCAAATTTGCCAGAATTGTACAAAAACAAATAGTAAAATTATTACTAAAACAAGTAATTACTCAATAAAGTTACATTACTATATAAACTATTATACAAAAAGATTAACAATACATATTATATGATAAATGATTTATATATACTCTACCTTTAATAATTCTTTAAAAATTACTTAAAAACTATAAATAATTTTTTTAAAAAATTATTAATATTATAAATTTTATATACAATTTTTTTTTTGTTAATTTAGCAATTTTGCCAATATTTTATTAAATATAATCATTTGAACTCTCAGGTAAAAATGCAAATTTGACTAAAGTTATCTAAAGTCTACCTAAATTACAAATATTGACTAACCTAGCTTTTTGTGACACTAAAGTGCTCAAATTACTTATGTTCGATTTGCTATAATAAAGTTTATTTCTATATCAAAAAACCCTGCAAATGAATTCTTCAATATATTACTAAATAGTATTTACAGCCTATCAAGATCGCCTTCTTTCCTAATCTTCTTCTTCTAGCTTTCTGAGCAGAAAGATTTATAGTCTCCAACTGACTTATGAAAAAAAACTAATATTAATAAAAAAAAATATAAAGGAATTAAAACAAAGAGGAGAAAGAAAAAAATGTTTAAGCAACAAGAAAATGAATAAAAAAATGTCTAAGCAACAAGAAAATGAATAAAAAAACAAATAAAAGAAGAAGAAAAAGGCAGAAATAAAATAAATCTATAAAAGCACTATTATAGCTTGTGCTAGACACAGTTGTAAAAATTATATATCTAATTAAATTTAAACAAAACTAATTTTTAAATTTAAAAAATCTTGTATATCTCTGTTGTAAAGCCTTATTATTAGAATTTTCTTTTAACTATTATATTTGATCTGGATTAGTTCATTAACCAGAGTGCCGATTGGTTTGTCACATGGTGTAGGGCCATTATTGCCAAAACAATTCTAAGTTTATGTCCTACTTTGTTTGTCTGAAAATGAAAAGTATAAACAATGCCAATCTTTTAGAGGAGGTAAGCTAAAATGCTTACTTTTTTGTCGAAAATTTTAGTGAGATTGGCAAAATAAAAAAAAAATAAAAAACACTTGGACAAACTAAAGGAGTATGAGTTTTTTTATTAGAATCAACTATACACCCAAGCCTGCACAGTACTAAGTCCTATCAGTAAGTAATAAACTCTAAACTTGTTGACAAGTAGTGTATGAGAACTACTTCTAAATAACAAGTACCGTGTCTCTAGTTAGTGAGTGATAAACTCTAAGGCTGTTAGCAAGTAGTGTATAAGAACTACCTCTAAATAATAGCTGCTAACTTAGAGGTTCCTTTTTTCACATCTTATGTACAAGTTATTGACTCCACTTTAGTGTACTGTTTTTTTTTCTAATAAAAAGTTTTTTAGAAAATATGGTCCAAATGATCATCAGAAAGAGTTTTTAATTTATATACAATTTTGATTAACTAATAATACTATATTATATAATATTTAATAATTTTTTTAATACTCCTTCTCTAAAAAATCAGAAGATAAATATCTCTACTTTATATATATTTAAATTATTTTGCTATAGTGCACGCATTCTTAAACCAACAATAGTGGCCAAATTTAAACCAAAATACTAAATTTTAATTGGCTAATATTTAAAATTTTATTATGTTTTTTAAAATTTTATTCTATTTTTTAAAAATTTTATTAAGTTTTTATATATATGCGACTAAATTTTTATTTTATTAATAACTTTAAAAAGAAATAACATTGTCAAATTTTGTTATATTAAAAAATAAACTTCATGGATTTATTTTATTTGCTTTTTTGTATATTTTTATAAAAAAAAATTTCTTTTAGCTATATTTTTTATTTTTTTATAAAATTTTTAAAAATTTATTAATTATAGTTGTTGATTTAAGGATTTGCATATTGTATCTAAAAAAATTTACTAATAAATTTTATTTTATAACTAAATACGAATTATTTTCTTATAGTGAAGTTCTCGAGCTATAAAAATTTCCTATTATAGTGCAGATATTCTTAAACCAGCATATAAAATATATAATTTTTAAAAGTTTATAAATAAAAAACTAAAATAGTTATAAATTAAATCTCTTTATAAGCAAAAAATCAAAGATATAACTTTTTTTAATGATTACCTATACCAAATTTTTTGCTAAAAAAAACAAATATTTGTTGAAGTTAGTAGCAAAAGCAAATATAATATACAGTTTTTATAAAAATCAACCAAGTTGCTTTTTTTTACTTTTAGCTTGAAGACTTTTTAATATATTTAGCATGCAAGTCAAGAGCATTCTTGTACAAGATAACTGGCAGAAGAGTATATCTTTATATAAAAAATTTTGATAAAAAAGATTTTTCATCTTTGCTAATGAAGTTTACTATATTTTGCTTATACAGAAAACAACAAATAAGCTTTTTTTTATCAAACTCTCTTTTGAAAATCTGAAGTCTTGCTACTGCTTTTTATTTTAGCTATTCTTTCTACAAACTTGCTCACTAAAAGTGGGTTTTTCGGCATATTTCTATTAAAAAATTAGCTTTGTTTATCCCTTTTTAATTTAGGCTAAACTTAATAATATGCAACTACATGTTTGTTTTGCAAACATGATACATGCTATATAAGAAACAGAAGTTAATAGATTATTTTATGATAAGATATTAAAGTCATAGATATAAAAGAATAATCTAAATTGGAGAATAGTTTGAAAAAAAACAATTAAGATCAAAATGAAGTTTTAAACAATTTGTTACAATTGGTATATAATTTTTATAAACCTGATATGGGTTACAATAGTATATCTTTAGGTTTATTATATGTGTATTTTATTTTAGTCACAGCTTATTTTTCTTTTCTAGTTTTTTTTTTTGCAATCTATATTCTTTTTTTATTTCTTTTGTTTTTTTTAGTCATTTTCTTGGTTAAAAATTTTTTTGCTTACACCTTTATTTCATGCTTTTTGAGAAAAAAAAAGACTTAGAAGAAAAAATAAATAGTCATGACAAGATATACAATAACTTGTCAGTAATCAAGGAGCATATTCATATAGTATAAAATCCTTAGAAAGTTAAAAATCCTGAAAGAAACTAATAAGTTGTTATAACTAGTCATCTTGGGCTTAGGCTTGGGAGTTTTTATTAAACTAGAACAATATTGTATAATAAAATATATCTAATGGGTATATTATAAAGTTACATATTCAGAAAAATAAAAGCATGACTGTTTAAAAAAATAAATAAATAAATCTTTTTGTAAAAGAATATAATAAAACTTAAAGAACTATAAAGTTTATTTTTTTAGATAATTAATATTTAATAGAGTTATATCTTTTTAAAATTATTAGTAAGCTAAAAATTTGGCCATATATATAAAAACATAATAAAATTTTAAAAAATATAATAAAATTTTAAGCTGTTGGCCAATTAGAATTTAGTATTCTGTGTCAAATTTGGCCACTTTTAAAAAAAGTTGTTGATTTAAAGATGCCTGTACTGTATATTGAGATATTCACTATATTAAAAGCCTTTTAATTTAGTAAGATAATAATCAAATATATTATATATAGCAATATAACAAAAAATCTGTCAATTTAATTAGTTAATAAAATATTATATAATAAAATCTTCACTATAATATAAGTTATTTTGATATAAAAATCTTCACTATAGCTTATATCGAGAGTTTACTATTTAATTTCATTTTATGGAGCGAAAATTTATTAGTCATGATTCTGTTCTAAAAAAATTCTTTACTATAAGCCAATCTTCACTATATCGAAGGTTCACTATAACGAGAGACTTGTATAGTTTTGATTTATATAGTACCTCAATGTCACATGGAAAGAACGTACCTAACCAAAGATTATAATATTTATTATTGATTATAAACACAATTACCCTTTTACCAGAGAAATTGGTATATTTCTATCTAAGATCAGTTATTTAATACAATGAATTTGCTAAAATTGAATGTTTATGCAAATATTTGTTTATTTTTTATGGGGATTATATTAAATCTATGAATAAAACAAAATCTATACAGTATGTAAAAAAAAAACCATTAATCAGTTATTAAGGATAAGACAGTAACAATAATTTGATATCTTCATCATATTGTAGACAATTATCAGGACAAAATCTACTTTTAAAATAACTAGGAAATTCATATAAGGAGTTTTGAACAACTTTTGTAATACTTTTTGTAATACTTTTAGTACCATCATACGCTAGACTATGTTTGTCCGCAATAGTTTTAACTTTATGTTGGATAGCCTGAATGTAAATGCCATTGGTGTCTGAATTATCTATTATTCTCTGAATTAGACTATTAAAACATTTTTGCTTAGCAATACCAATAAAATGACATATCGAAGGAGGATTTCCGCAAATGTAATCCATTCTTTCACAATCTTGAGATGTCCAATTTACACCTAGAGGAGGTTGTTTAACTCGGAAAGGGTCATTACAATTACCCTTAAATTGTGGTAATACGTTGAAAATGGAATCTTGAATTACAGTGGACATGTTTCTGAGGTACGTATTCTTAAAATCATTAATTTGATTATAAACCTCAGTGGCTAATTCTCTGGTAACTATATCTATCACCTTCCATTCATCTGATATATCATCGAGATTCATGTCAAAGAATAAAGACGTGGTAACGGTGGTTCTTAAATCATCGAAAATCGGGGCGATTTCTGGACCCCAACTATCAGCAAAGGCATCGGAGATACCCTCTCTGCATTTTTTTTCGCATGATTTTACTGGCCCAGTAATAAAGATCAACGCAAAAATGGTTATAAAAACATTAAAGTATCGAAAATTTTTCATTTTTGCAAGAGGAAAGGTTCCAAATGCAATTGTAAAGAAGGATGAAAAAAAAAGGACGAAAAAAAAAAAGAAGTATTGGGTCCTACTGTAATTTAAACTCTAAAGAGTAGGTCTACAAAAGAAAGGTTCTTTAGAAAAATGATTTAAGTCATTTTAGAAACCACAATGTCTTTTTATTGATGATGAAACAGATAATAATGTATAGTACCACCAAGTATATGGTAATGTATATCGCTAATTACTAGTGTTTAGATTTTATTCGTTTGTTTTTCTGATCTATTTTTGTTTAGATTGCCTGATCGGTAGCGTCTAAAATGGCCAGCAATTGTCTTGTGCTAAGATGCAAAATTTGTTATTTTTGCACTAAATATATGATTATTAACTTTGTTATTGAAATTATTTACATAAATGAGTAATTATATGTATATTTTAGATGATGACCGTTGAAATGATAGATGAAGAACTCGCAGAAGAAAAATATGATTACATTAAAATTTATACTTAATAAATGTAAATTTATAAAAAGCTATTTTTCTTAATTTGCTAATTTCATTAGCTATTTTTGCTAACTATTTTTGCTATCAACGTCCGAGGGCCCTGATGTTGATACAGGAAATCTCATACAAATTGGGGAGATTGGAAATTTTAATTAAGGCAGATAATAAGTAGAACTATTTTCTCGTCATTTTTAATTAGTCAGAAAATCGATTTAAATACTTTTTTTTTTTTTTATGTTTTCGAAATTACATTACATCTCTAGCGATTTTACATCCTTTACAGAAATAAATGCATTTATATAAATATATATGTTTCTTTTTTTTTTACGCAGAAAGGTGACAGATATTACATAATATTTTTTTTTACTATACCCCCCTCCCCTCACGTAAGGGAAATTTGATTGGCTATTATAAAATTATATATCTAGAAGACCCCTCAGAATATTACGTAATATCTGTCATTACCCTAACGATACATATATTCATAGTCGAAATTTAATATGAACCTATATCAAGTAAGGCCCACGTGTAGGCTGTCAATCGGCAGTCCGTGTATTAAAGATTGTCACGAATGTGATAATAAAATCAAAATTATTTATAAATATGTAGATCATAGATCATAAAGGTTAGTACTAATAAAGTTCGTTTTTATTAATAGTCTCGAAAAATAAGCCAATATTCTCGAAAAAGAAATCTATGAACTGTTGGAACTGGAACTATTGCAACCATTTGAATTAGATCGATATCTTACTATTTGTTAAAAACTCAAGTTTATGATTTTTCTCAAGTTCTTTTTTTTAGTGGTTCGTTTAAAAGTTTTTTGGGGATGCATTTATTAAATATTAAATATTCAAAAATAAATATGTAATATTAAAGAATTTTTTAAAAAAAGTTTAAGCAATAATTTGTAGTTCTTTATTAATTTAAATGTTACTCATTTTAATTCCGGATAATCGTTTTCTGATTTCAAAATTTCAAAACAGAAAAAGGACATTTTGTACCCGAATAAGTTAATTATGAATCACCCTTATATCGAAAGCTTCTTACTTTGAGAGTTACTTTGTACTCGGCGTAGGGATGTTAAATTACGAGTCCGGTCCGGCCCGATCCTAGGACCGTCCCGATCCTAGGACCGTCCTGGACTCAATCCTTAAATCACGTGAAATCACAATCCTCTGAATGAGTTCATCCAATCAATTTAGTTCTGTATTATAAAAAAATTTTCATTGAATTTCATTTGGTGGTTATCGAGATATCTTCGCTTAAATTCATTAATAAATTAAATCGTCTATTAAAATTCTAGTAGACAAATCTGATAAATTTTTTTTATTTTAATTTTACAAGCTTGTAAAATCAAAATCAAAAAATTTTCATCGAATTTGATTCAGTGGTTATCGAGATATCTTCGTTAAAGTTTAATAAATTAAACCGTCTATTAAATTTTTTTTAGACTTTAAACGAAGATATCTCAACAACCACCATTTTTTATTTTGACTCTACAATATTGTAGAACCAAAATAAAAAACAATTCATCAAATACAGTATTGTTTGGCGGTTGTCGAAAAATTTAAAAATTATGTAGTGCAATTAATTCTATTGATCAGATTATATATACTTTTACCCTATTGACGTCATATCAGTTGATCAGTTTACGCAGAAATTATAAATTAGCAAACACGCACAGATTTCATTTCTCGCCTCTACTTGCACTAGTCTCTCTCTATTTTATATAAAGTTGGTTTATTTTTCTTTTTGTTTTATCGTAACATATATGTTAACCGTGACAATAGTTCTAATTCAGGTTGAATTCGGAAACTAGTGCGTTAGGTGAAATTGGAAAAAATCTGAATATAGTAAACAGATTTCATGACGAAGGTGTGACAGGCTTTGTTCATAACGATCATGGTGATTACGAAGAGGATTTGTTAATATTGTGTTTTAAATCACCTGCCATTCTACTATTAGATGGAAACTTTGAAACCACCGGGTGAATCTTTGGCGAATGGGCGGATCATGGAAGACATTGGGTGGATCATGGAAAACATTGGGTGGATCATGGAAACATTGAGCGGATCATGAGAAAAATTGGGTGGATCTTGGAAACATTGGGCGGATTATGAGAAACATTGGGTGGATCATGGAAATATTGGGTGGATCATGGAAACATTGGGTGGATCATGAAAAACATTGGGTGGATCATGGAAAACATTGGGTGGATCGTGGAAAACATTGGGTTGATCATGGAAGCTGTTGAGCGGAACTCGGAAGTGAAACTTGGCAGTGGAAGCGTGAAACCTGGTGGTGGAAGTGTGAAGCCTGGTGGTGAAGTGTGAAACCTGGTGGTGAAAATGTGAATCCTGGTGGTGAAAGTGTGAAGCCTGGTGGTGAAGTGTGAAACTTGGTGGTGGAAGTGCGAAGCCCAGTGGAACCTGGTGGTGGAAGTGAGAAGCCCGGTGATGGAAGTACGAAACCTAGGTCGAATTTTGACGATGGATATTATTTGTAACTTAATGGTAAGAATTCACTGTATTATTATTGTTAACCTTGTTTAAAATCATGTTCTTTATCGCTATATATTTTCTAATTATTTTTTTTTCTTCGTATAACGGACGTAACGCTTTAATCAGTTGGTTACGCGCGGGGTTGGGGTGCATAACATTTTTATCTTTTTTTTTTTTTTTTTTTTTTACTCCTCCTATTTCTTTGTAAACAAGCGTAATTGGTGTTCCTATATTCTATTTTTTTTTTTTTCCTTTTATAAGGCCTAGTTTCTTGATAATTTCACCGTGTTGATGAGCTTTGAAGCGTATATACGGCCCAGTTGCTTTTTTATGGTAACCAATAATTGGAAACTCCTCGACCATTTTATTTGCTTCTTAGAATTGCTTTACAACTTCTTCATATCAACCAACGCAATATGGCATCCATCTAGAGAGGGTAGGAAAAAAAAACTTCATATTGGCGGATCGGTGGAATTACCTATTATAGGGTTACAATTTTATTATCATCCTCCCTACAAGCCACCCGAAAATCGATTTTTTTGATCTCATCATAATAAGACTCATCTGTTATTATTACCAAAATTATGAGGTTAATTTTTTTGTTAGAGCAAAATTTTGAGATATAAGCTTTTTTTTAATTTTGAAAACTGCTATATCATCGTTAAAAATATTGATTAATAAAAATTAAACTATTGCTATTATGTAAAGCCAACCTATTATAAAACCAAAAACAAATAATTTACTTATTTCAATGTCAAATAGTGTTAGAGGGTTTCTAAATGAACTATTTTAGAACAAATAGGCGTTTAAAAAATCACATTTATGTTTTGAAATTTCGAAATCAGGAAATTGAATAGGTGCATTCGAATATGAAATTCATAAAATCGTAAAAAGAAATAGCCATTTATTTAATCCGAATTCATTAATTTTGGAACCCCATTGATAATAATTTAAAAATCTAATTCTGGTGAGTGGAAATATAGAATGCTTTATATAGGTGAAAAAAATAGAAACTTCTAGTTTATTTTATACAAATATTGTTCTAAGCATTGACAAAGAGAAATACTAATTGCAATGGAATCACATTTAGCTAATGAATTCTAGCTGTCCACAAGATAAACGAAAATATTGATAAGATAAATAAGTGGCGCTTTTTTAAAAAATTTTATAAATTTTCATATTCGTATGCGCTTATTCAATTTTCTGATTTCGAAATTTCAGAACATAAATATGATTTTTAAACACCCACTTATTTTCGAAATAATTTTAAAACAAAATGCCATAAATCAACGTATACACAGTGATTTGAAGATCGATAAAATTAAGCCATGTCTAAATTACGAATGTATTGGCTTTCGGAATTCGAAAAGAACCTGGACATTATGGAAAAGGTTTAATAGAAGAATTATAGGCATGTGCTAATTCCGATTGATTTATCCTAGGAGGCTGATATATTTAACATAAATGACATATTCGATGATGACTAGTCTCAAATACTTTTAATTCTCGGTGAATTCTAGTACATTCATGACTTCTGAAACGAAGCTTACTATAGAGGGTATAACAGACATCGCATGGTCTTTTTTTAATTTTAATAACGCATAATCGTATTGCGATCACAATCTATGCAGGCAGACGTCAAGCAAAAGTCGTGAAATATGGGCTTTGAAGGTCAAATATTGTTGATGAGATCTTAAGGGTTGGGAACGGTAATAGTAAGTTTTAATATATAGGTGTGGAGGATCAAATTATATTAAAGTTTACACACGACTTATCAATTAAAAATTAATGATTCTTATATGTTTGATTCATCTCACCAAGGCGAATATAAACCATCAACGGATTGCAAGATATTAATAAAAAATAACTTTAATTTTGTGTTTGAGATTTTTGGTAGCTCCTACAAAAAATTTTTCGCCCTCTGTAATTTTGGCCAATCGAAATTTAAAATCAGGTGTGGTTTGTTTTCTAGCGTGTAAAAAGAAAACCGCGTTACAGTTAGGGTGAGAACAGTGTATGGTTAACTACCCTAGCGGCAGGGTTGGCACATTTATCTATTGGGACGAATGGTGAACAACTCAATTGACATTGCTCCATTGCTCCATTGAGAATAATTTCTGAATGGAGCCAATGGAAACCAACAAACTCCATTGACATTGATCCGTTTGACCTGTTTATCAACAGATCGAGCTATCAGTATGTGAGGTTAGAGGTTAAATCCTATTCTTCATCGGCTTTATATTGGAGCCATTAGCTTAGCTCCACTGAGTTCTCCGCTGGCTCCATTAGGTTCTCCACTAGTATCATTTGCTCCATTCACTCCATTGACTCCATTGGGCTCCATTCACTCCACTGGTAATTTTCTCAATGGAGTGTATCCATTGCCAACCTTGCCGACAGATTCTCAATCTAGAACCTTCGAATCCTTAATTGTGATTGGTTATTATAAAAATTTTAATTTTTTTTAAATTTCTAACGAAGGTTCCTCAATAACTACTTGATCGAATTTAGTGAAATTTTTTTTTATTTTAATTCTATATTTTGTAGAATCAAAATAAAAGAGAAACTATCGATGAAAGTGTAAAAAAAACTCAATGTCAGAGAAAAATTGTGAAAAATTTCTTTTTTAAACCTTAAAATGAAGATTTCTCAACAACCACACGTACAAATTTGATGAAATTTTTTTATTTTAATCTATGAATCTACAGAATTAAAATAAAAAAATTTTATCGGATTTAAATAGGTGATCATTAAAAATCTTCATTTAAAGTTTAAACCAAAATTTGGCTACAGCATTTTTTTAATAGATTTTAAAACTCTGAACGAATATTACTCGACATTTACCTAACCAAATTCGATAGAAATTTTTTATTTTAATTCCATGAAACTATAGAATTAAAATATCAAAATTTTATTGAATTTTAATAAATATTTCTCAACACCTGTATAAGTTTGATTAAAATTTTTTTATTTAATTCGTAGGTTCATAAAATTAAAATAAACCAAATTTGTACAGGTGGTTGTTAATAAACCTTTGCTTAAAGTTTAAATAAAAAATTATTATAATTTTATTTTTTAAAGTTTTTTTTTAAAAAATATTAAACAAAGGTTTTTTAACAACAAAGAAAATTTATAAATTTACCCCCATGTATGAAACACGGGTATAATTTATAAAAAAATTTAATATAAAATTTAAAGAAAAAAATTAAATTGAATTAAAGTTAAGGTAAGGTTAGG